CCGGACTAGGTGCGTTCCAATAAGTCTTCCTACCAATATGACCATGTTGCGAAAACAAGGTCAAATAACTAATAGTTAATTGAACTATTAATTTCAAAACATACTTTTACCGAGAGCTAGTAACGAGATCATTTTTAATGACAAGTGCATATCTCTTTCATCATGAGATGCGATTCATAAGAGACCCGGTTTATTTGGACCATAGAGCATATGTGTCTTTCGTCACATCTCGCGCATATGAAGCGTAGGGGTAGAGGGCTTTAAGGGTTATTGGACCTGGTTTCGAATCCATTTAGAGGCGTTGATGAAAATGGTGTGAGGTCGAAACTGCAATTTAGCCTGTGCGACAAATCTTTTTGAGAGGCAAGGAGAAGTATAATTCTATAGTACCATGAGACCGAATTATTTCACTGCGGTAATTCTTAACTATTGGTCTTTAAGGATCATCTTAGTCGATCGATAGTCGCAAAGTTCTTATTCAAGGATTAGTGATAGCTTCGAAAGCTACTTGCATCGAAATTAGGTAATAGCGTCGAATAGAATGGCGTAATCGATAATTATACTATAGATTTGAGATGGGAGAGGCCTGGCTTATCTTTAATATGGCATCTGTCCTGTGACCAACTGGCACCTGTGGCCATGTAGTGCGGTTTCGTAACGAGGATACTATTCACATGTTGGTATAACATGTCTTGATCTCCACGGTTCAAGTCCGAACAGAGCCAGGCGAGATTAAAACTTCATGATGAGGAACTCTGGGGCTACATGGAGCGCATGGGAGAAGGAAAAATCAATTCCTCCCTATATTTTGTCTTGGGTGGAATTATTACAGTCTCTATAGCACCATAAGAAAAAGATGTCTGTTGTAATATGATATAATATATATATGATAATTAAAATTTTTTTAATATAAATATTTATAGAAGAAGACTGCGACCATACCAGAGGCCACACCATCTTGGTCTATCTAATATATAATACAGTAAAGATACTAAATCATAATAATTACATTTATATACCAATATAACGATTTGAATCTACGGAAGCTGGATTAGGATCGAATGGAACAAGCATGATTCAGGCAATTCCTAGTACGAAAGTGAATAGATTGCCTGATGGATGATACATGAGAAACTTTAGAAAAGAAATCGGTCCATGCTTTAATGTGCTTTAGTAAGAGTAGTAAGGTTGATCATGATTAAGGATTGGCATTTTTCTACTTTCAGGTTTTATATTGTCAATAAG